GAACTGGAGCTAGTTCTGTGTCACCCTAGGTTATGACTGTTACATGATGAACCGCATCCGGCATAATTCTCCATCACTGATCCATTGCCTATGAGCTTTCTATATATTGTTCTCCGCTTATTTACTTTTCCGTTGCTATTGCTATCACCACTACAAAATACCAAAAACACTACTCTTGCTATTGTTACCTTTTGCTACCGTTACCACTACTATCATATTACTTTGCCACTAAACACTTTGCTGCAGATATTAAGTTTCCAGGTGTGGTTGAATTGACAACTCAGTTGCTAATACTTGAGAATATTCTTTGGCTCCCCTTGTGCCGAATCAATAAATTTGGGTTGAATACTCTACCCTCGAAAACTGTTGCGATCCCCTATACTTGTGGGTTATCAACGTGGTATTTGTGGCAAAGCCACCGTTCATCATTGTACTACATGTTACGCTAGATCATTGCACGTCCTGGTACACTGCCAGAGGCATTCATATAGAGTCATCTTGTTTCAGTTTATTGAGTTGTGAGTAAATAAAAGTGTGACGATCATCATTATTAGAGCATTGTCCCAGTGAGGTAAAGAATGATGGAGATTGATGAGTCCTCCAAAATGTGTTGGATGAGGTTCATGATATTGTTCTAAGAGAGAGAGACGAGAGAGAGAGAGAGAATGAGAGAAAAAGAGAGAAGGGACAATGCTACTATCCTTTTACCGCACTTGTGCTTCAAAGTAGCACCATGTTCTTCATATAGAGAGTCTCCTGATTTGTCACTTTCATATACTAGTGGAAAATTTTCATTATAGAACTTGGCTTCTATATTCCGATGACGGGCTTCCTCAAATGACCGAGGTCTTCATTAGCAAGCAAGATGGATGCACACCCGCTTAGTTTCAGTATTGAGCTTTCATACACTTATAGCTCTAGTGAATCCGTTGCATGGCAATCACTATTCCTTGCATTGATATCTATTGAAAGGCCTCTCCATTGCCTATCAATCCACCGAGCTGATGCGAGACTTTCGAAACAATGTTCCGCCGCCGCAAGCTTCTGTTCTTCCGCGATCCTGTTTGGATGCCTTTTTCTGTACTCTCTGTAGGGAGAATCGATCAGATAGGGCTTCTATATCAACCTTAATGCACCTCCGATGATCTATGAGTATTTACCACAGACCTACGGGTCCATAGTGATTATCTATATGGTTTCCTCTCTCTCTCTTTGATCTTCAATACAATGTTCCTGTAACACCCCGGACACACCCGCCGGTGGTCATTACTCCTGGCGGGATCTAGACTGGCCCCACAAATCAATACTAGTCTTTTCTGCGCACTTTGCCCGCACTCGTGCGCACTAGGTAGCAACTTCCCGGTCAGTCACCCATCATGAAACTACTCCAAGCTGAGCACGCTTAACTTGGGAGTTCTGTCTGAATGGGCTCCCGGAAAAAAGGAATTCCTTATTGATATGAGTAGTCTATCATCCCTATTAAGCCAGGATATCACATACACCCCCACTCAAAGGAACCGACGTCCTCGTCGGGCCACAGGAATGTTCCCTCTTGGCACATATGTCTATGCATGTAGTCCGGTACATGTGCCATACCGTGTGCCACGACGGGTCACAAAGGTCATGAACAACATGACCGCACACCTGTCCACAAACATCAGTATAACCGCGAGGGTCGGTTCTGATACCAACTTGTAATGCCCCGGACACACCCGCCGGTGGTCGTTACTCCTGGCGGGATCTAGACTGGCCCCACAGATCAATACTAGTCTTTTATGTGCACTTTGTCCTCACTTGTGCACACCCGGGAGCAACTTCCCGGTCGGTCACCCATCCTAAAACTACTCGAAGCTGAGCATGCTTAACTTTGAAGTTCTGTCCGAATGGGCTTCCGGAAAAGGATTTCTTTATTGATATGAGTAGTCTATCATCCCTATTAAGTCAGACTATCACAGTTCCCCTCGGAATTTTATCCGATGTAATCTTCTTTCGCGGTGTGTTTGTTGGGATCCGATGAATTATGGGGTTATGATTGGATAATTCTTTGAAAGTAGTTGAATATTTTCTGAACTTTATTATGTATGACTGTTATAGCTATGTTATGCTTTTCGATCTATGGGTTTTCTTTGGCCAAGTTGCTTCGTTGATCTTCAATGGAAGTGGTGCATAGTAGTAGGTTCAATCTTGCGGTGTCCTCACTCGGTGACAGCAGGGGTAGTGAGGTACGTATTGTATTGTCGCTACTAAGGAGAAAATGACAAGGTTTAATCATATTGCTTGGTTTTATTGTCTACATATGTCATCTTGCTTAAAGCATTACTCCGTTTGTCATGAACTTAATACCATAGACGCATGCTGGATAGCGGTCGATTGGTAGAGTAATAATAGTAGATGCAGGCAGGAGTCGGTCTACTTGGCATGGACGTAATGTCTATATACATGATCATGCCATGAATAACGTCATAACTATACGATTTTCTATCATTAACGTCATAATTTGTCTACCCACCGTACGCTATTTTTACGAGAGAAGCCTCTAGTGAAAACTATGGCCCCCGAATATATTTTAATCATATTACAAATAACAAAAATACCTTGCTACAACTTTATTAATTTTAATTTACTTTGCAATTTGCTATCTACAATATCGGATTTAATCCTTGCAATTAAAGAGTACAAGGGGATTGACAACCCTCTTGCCCGCGTTGGGTGCAAGTATTTGCTTTTCTATGTGTAGGTACTGCTAAAGGTTGTTTGCCTAAGTCTTCTATTGGTTCGATAACCTTGATTCCCTACCGAGGTAAATACTATCCACTACTATATTGCTTCACCGTTCCTCTCCAGGGAAAATCCCAATGTAGCTCACAAGTAGCAGGCAACCTAGTGGATAGTTGGTCCCCAACTCGTGCTCGCTCTAACTGATGGCCTGTCCCCTGTTCCTGATCCTGACCGGGTCCTTAGCGTACATGGGCCTAGGCCTGCCTAGGCCCTTAGCCGAGCCTTTATGTAATTGTGGGCCTACATGGTGGGGAATTGCCTCGTATTAGCCCACAAGTCTGTCAGGGTATCGATACATAAATCGACCAAACCCTCAAAAGAAGTAGATTCCGATTGGACCCGTAGTGGAACATAGGTTCTGAGTGGTCTCGGACTTGAGACGCTGCTAGTTTACTCGTGAAGAGACCATGTGGACTCTATAGAGCAAACACATGTGGAAATGGTTAATTCAAACAAGTTATGAAAAAGAACGAGTGATACTCGATCATCTTTTGGGAGAGGCTGACTTGCGGCTCGACTGAGGGCGTATCATATAATTCGAGTGATGATGTTGGCGCTTGGTCTGACTCTCTCGAGGAGATGCGAGTCGGTATCCCTGAGGAACATCGTTCATTCATCTTCATCATATCCGAATTTGCGAATTTCAGGACTTGGTTCCATATTGAAGCCTCAACCCATGCTACAAAGGATACCAATTTTTTCCCTTGTTTAGGGTGTCCTTGAGTAATTTAGCAATCTTCAGGAGACGGATTAACAACACCTAGATTACAGAACTTATCTATGCCGAGTGTGAGGTCACTTGATTATTTTGTAAATTGGCACGAAACATTTGACCCAGAGTTGTCATAATAGGGTTCATATTTTACCCGACTAAGGGACCGATTAGTGCCGTGAGTGATGACATGACTAATCATTTTTGTGTTGCCAAATTGATTCAGCCGCGTAAATAGTGGGATTTGACTGGACAACGAAGAAAGCAATCTGCTCGGCACTCGCGCATTGCAGACTCAGATAGATGGGTACGTTGGCGTGTGCTCGAAAATTGCCATGACGACGCCTGGGTTATCATGTGGTTACTGCGCTGCCGCACGTTACGACTTCTAGATTTCGACACATGGATGGATGGATCTTGACTACGAACAACTGGATTTAGTTGACGATTGAGCTATGTGCCCTTTCAAAGGCGAGGTGAGGGAGAGGGGGGAAGGACTCTTCTCGCAAATCTCGCCGCCTCCCTCTGAAACCGCCACTGTGAGCAGTTGCTGCATCCGCATGATCTCCTTCTTTAAAGATTGAAACGCTAAGAATTAGCATCATCTCGCGATAGAGATTTGCCCT